CAGGGAATTTGTAGCGTTGCAGAAATTTGCCTAATGTACTCATCTGCTCTGTCAAAAACCAAAAACATAAGGAAGAGAAAATAGTAAAATTAATTATAAACAAAGTTCAATGAAAACAGATGCTAAACCCTCAAAACAAAACAAAAATAACCCAGCAACAACAAAAAAAAAAAAGAAAAAGAAAAAAGAAAAAAGAGAATGAAAAGAAAAAACAATCTGAAAACTCAGTGTTAAGCTCTTCCAGTAAGTGTTGTCCTGTGGACAACAGAAAGAGAACAAGGTTTTCTCACTCTCTTATATGCAAAACTGGAGTGTAATAAGGAAACTGATTCTGAATTCTTCGAAAGGTTTTAACTTGCTGAAAGAAAAAATTCTGTGCCTTAAGTGTAGGGTCATCTGATTCTCTATCATGGAAGCATTAAAGTTTGTAGTTGGAAAGTTTTATCTACCACCAAAAGTATGGAGGAGCTAAGAGGAGAAAAAGCTATGTCCACAAAGCAGCTAGTTTTCAGGTGGTGGTGACTACTGACATGTCTGTCAGTAGTCTTCCCCTTCACAAGCAAGTTCCCCCCTCAATTTCTTTCCTATTTGTCTGCCTTGGCACTGATGCAATCTGCTTTTTCATTGTATGGTGGGGAATAGCCAGAGCCGCTGTCAGGAGGTGCCATTCCAGAGCACTTCTGTACATAAGAAACTACATGCGTGAACGGTGTGAGGCTGGCAGAACTGATGCAAACAAAGTGAGGTGACCCCATGTGGTTACGAAGGTCCGGGCATGGGGCAGTTTTATCATCAATATATTTTCACTCAGAGCTATCCAAAGAGAGATATTTTGCACTAATGGGAACTGGTTTTTACCGAATTATAGCTTATTGCTGCTATTATACTCACAATTATTACCTACATGAATTTAATGCAGCTTCTTTGTAAACCTAGCAGCTTCATTGCCTTTCTGCTGCTGGAACAGAGGTATATTTGACTTCATTTTATGGCAGTGGTGCTTCTTCAGTAACATTGCTTCCCTTCAAAGTGCTGTTTAAAAATAAATGACACTATGCTCAGCAGTTTTATTCTTTTTATTGTATTAACACTGTTATACCCCCAGGTAGGCACTAGGCAGAGCCCTGCTCACATGGAGCTTACACACTAGCTTTCAGAAGTCAAATTAATTATAAACTCTTCCGTACATCTCAAATCTACATAGTCTCATATGAAACTAACTCTGAGTTAGGTCTTGATTCTAGTACTTCACCAAGTCTGCAACTAGATTCAAGACCAGAATCAAGTCTATTTATAATTTGGGCTTGCTGAAGTTATTCCTGACTTCTCCTGCTGCAAGCACAAACAAAAGCACATGCTGAAGCCTGATCAGGCTGAAACCTGATCCGTTTCATCTGTAACATGCTATTTAAAAAAAAAAAGTAAAACTAAAAAAATCCTGGAGCATAATACAAAATATACATCATATTTCCATCATTATTTGCAGCTGTGCCAACTCAAAAGTGCAATGAACTTTCCATTACAAAAACTGATTTAGCTCTTTAAGTAAAACTACTTAAATACAAGTAGAGCTTCTAACCATAAGTGGTTAGGTGATGGATACAAAACCTTACCCAGTGGTGTTCCTTCCCTTTACTTGGGGAGTAGTTTTGTTTCCAGGCAAGGGGGAAAGTCTTATTGTCTGGAACAAAATAAAATCCAGTGAAGACAAGAGAATTGAATCACTGCTGTCTACTTGATGAATTGTTAAATTCTCCAAAAATTTGCATGTGGGATACAGACCTATCCCTTCCACTAAAGGCAGAAGAGGGAAATCCGGCAGAATGCTGTATTTCCTTGCAAGCAGCACCAGAAGTGAAGGATGGTACCATCTGCTCCACTGTGAAATTCCCTTTCTGGCCTGGAGTGTATGACCCTCGTTATACAGGAACTTCCCACACATATGGCTGTAGGGTTTTGCATTTTTCCTCTGCAAGAATTGAAGCAGACAATTTTTTATCTTTACTTTTAGAGCATTTGCCTTCTGGGTTCATAACTACAAATCAGGAGCGTATTCTTGAAATTTACACAATTGCTACATTTCTTTATTTTTGAAATAATTGCTTTGGCCACAGACTCAGTTGGTGGCAACAATCTTGTTAGACAATCAAGATCAGAATCCAGATCGTTTTTCAGAATGTTTTAAAAAAAACCCCTCAAAAATTAGAACATAGCATTTCACAGATATAAATCCAAAACACTCCACTGAATGCCATCCAGTGCAACTGAAAATGAATCTATCATTTGCCAAAAAGGTGTTTGGCTCCTGATTTATTACTGATTAAAAGATTTAATAAAACTCTTAAGCATGCTCAAGTCTTATTTTTGAAGAGCCCTCCAGAAAATAATTTTAAAGGTGCCTCAGCATAATGAAGAACTAGCTTTGGGGAAGACAAGGCTTGAAGTTCTAAGCCAGGTAGGCACATTTACATGTTTTGCTCCTCCAGTGAATCACCTCAAAGTCAGAAACAATCTTAAGTGTAGGCCAGCATACATAAAGACAACACACGCTTGTCTCACTACAGATCATTACTGCCAGCCACAAGGAGGAAAGAGACAAAAGGCCAATCTTCTTGATTATTACCTGTCTTAACAGCAGGAGCCTTCCCCAAACTGCACTTGCATTACAAGGGAGATGGTGTAATAAATAGCATGTGAGGAGTTTGTGGTATTAGTAACCCACACAAAGCCACCCACGTGTGCAGCTAACACGGCTTCATCCAGAGCAATACAGTAATTTACTGCTTGAGATGTAAGTTAACTTCTTCCAGAGATGGAACCACACATAACAGACAAGTTGGTCACACTGAGCCTTGTTCTCCTGGAGACCTCCAAGATGCTAAAGGAAGAAGTGCAGGACACCATTTCTGAGGTTAGAGCTTCACTTTCCTCAGGCCTAACAGCAGCTTTCTTTGGTTTAGCATCCCCTCTAGTCCACTTATATTTGCAAAAATCTTCCGTTACAGAATTAAAGACAAAACCTTGACTCTTTTACTTAATTATAACAAAAGCCAAGCTGGTGTCAGAGAGACTGCCAGTTTAAAGCACAGTGTAACGGTATTGCTAGTGCTCCTCAAGTCAAAATACAAAAACCAGTCATAACAGTGCAGAGACCATGTTGAAAGTGGTTGTGAAATTCATATTTTCTTCTCATAAAAACAGTATGCAGAAGGCAGTTGTATATTTATCATTTGACAATATTTTCCAAAAACAATATACTTGTAATTTAATTGTGACCTTAGTGCAAGGAATATGTGATCCTTTGGAGCGATATGCCCATCCAGTTGTCCTGTAACACATGGATAAGACATCTTGATGTGCAGTTTCCATTTTATAGTTTATAGATTAGTTAAGAAAAAGGTTTACTGGTGCAAATCATTTCTCTAAAACAATAAGGATAGAGCTAGTCAATGATATATTGAATTTTCTTCTCCCAGGCTGGAAACAGTATTTACCACACATTCATCATCAAGTTAATAGAAAATGTCCTTTACACATATGGTACTTGTCAACTGAATTATGAACTGATGCTGTCCCACAATAATCTGAAATAAATTGCCCTGTTTCAATGCAGTGGATCAGGAGAAGGGTTGCTGGCACAATATGTTACTGTAAGTTCTGGACCTGCCAGTTCTAAGGGCTACGTTTGTATGAAAGGCAAAAATATACAAGAAAAGAAGCTATAAATCCTTTGTGGAAAAAAAAAAAAACTGTCCTGCAGTTACTCTTACAATAGAGTAGAATTTGTAAAATATTTTCATCTATAAAAAAGACACTTTCATTAAAAATGTTTAAATGTTATTAAACTTTAAGGCACTCCAGCTGAAGAACTGATTGGATCACAACTACTGTTAGTGGCTCAGATGTCCTCTCTGTATCCCCATCCTTGTATCTTCAGTCCTTGTCCTTTGTGAGTTCTGTAATTTCATCCATATCTTCTATATCTTGGGTCATTTTTTCGTACTGTCTCTTGAAGAAGCCAAGCTGTAGGAAGATTTAAAATAACATATTGTGTCACATTAAAACTAGCTAAATGTTAGTATAATTGCTAAAATAGAATATTTAACAAGAGCCATTTATTTAGTCATTTGCAGATACGTTTCTCAATTGAGCTAATGGTATAGTGGTAGAAAATGCAAATATGTATGTATGTACTCACATGCAGTGCTTAATTTGTTGCATTTCCCTAACTGTAAAGTGAAAAGAGCTGGGATGTAAACTGCCTGGCATAACCAAGCACCACGACAGAAGTTGCCTCTCTGCCAAAATGCAGGAGCCTGAAGACCTCTCCAGGCTGTCTGGGCATGCCAAGTTGCTGTTTAAACACCAGTGCCCAGGCACAGACACATTTTTTCCTGGTCTTAAACTAACCATTCTTTGTACACCACATATAGCCGTATAGGCTTTCTCTGTTCTCTGCTTGTTCAGTGCATATCCTCTCTCCGTGGTCTCCCCCAGGGATTCCTACTCCCCAGGTTTTCCCACCAGGAGTATCGTGGCAGCCAGAGTGCAGCGGGGGAGTTGCCGATGTTAGAAATGCCACTGCCCTTGTTTTTAGCCATTGGCAAGTCATTTAACACCTTCACATGCCAATATCTATGGCCCCTTAGTAGCTTTTCTCTCCAAATTTTTAAAAGCACATCTACATGCTAGCTCCAGCGTGCAGTACCAGTGCAGTATTATTCTTACTGCCAAACTACATGGGCAGTTTTGTTCAGCACTGGAGGAAGATCCCAAGGAGGACAGCCAAGCACATGTATGAAGAAACACTATTTTCTGCTTTTCTTTGCAGGAATATGAACACCTACTTACTTTCCATAAAACTGCAATCAATGCTAACAGCAAGAAGAGTCCAGCCAATATACTACCAATCACAACACCAACTGGTATTTCAGCCTTCTCATCAGGCTTCATTATTGTAACTGGGATCTGAAAGTAAACAGATTGGCATGTTATGGGTTAACATTAATAGTGTTTAAAGTGTTTTTGTTTGTAAAGGAAATTCTTTACTTATCAAGAATAGCTGGGCTGTACATATGCCAGGAGAAAAGAGACTTTGACACACTAGGCAGTTGCAGCCCTTTCACTAGTGCCCCTGGTACCAGTTTGCACCTCTGTGGCACACAGGAATCCCTTTTAAGGACTAGAGTCCCTTAGGCCTCCTGGCTATACCCAGGTAGAGAAGCAGTAACTGCCCATCAATTTTCTCTTTCTTCAGTCAAAAGAATTCTTTTGGTGTTGTCGCCATACTGCATAGACACACCGTCACTGGAAAAACTGGATGTGCTTCAACACACACTGGCAACAGGATCATGCAGATCCACCATCTGCTCAAAACAGGTTTCCACTACATCAGTTAGAGAAGAACCGTGTCAACTGGCTGCTGGTGGAGTCTGCCATGTTTGGTGGCCAGCTGTGATAAGGCAACCTAATTACAGAGTCCATACACTGCTGTGCACTGACGGTGGCTGCTGACATTTCTGCCTTTCTGGTGGCAGCTCCTCTGTCTCTTGCCTGCCCCTCTGACCTCCTTGGAAAGGCACTAGCAACTTGTAAGGTTCTCTCTGTCCTTCGTGTTTTCTCCTGAGACAACTTCATGATTTTGCAGCAAGATATATGGGTCAGACAGAAGTATTTCTAACACACTTATGCTTCCTGCTGGTCAGAAGAAATACAGTCAGTACCAGACAGCTCCCATAACAGTTTATACACTGCTTGGATATTAGTTTTCAGGTGTTACCCTACCTTGTTGCATTGGATATGACCAACTATACAGTTACATGTAGCATAGCTGCTCAAGGAGATATTTGCCTCATATTTATGAACTGACAAATCTTTGGAGTTAATTGTGGAATAACATTCATTCAGCATGAAGATTTTTTTTCCTTCCTGAAACATGATAAAAGGAGTCATTTTGGTGTACTTTGTCAGGGTTGCCTACTCAGTGCATTTGTCTGGTGTAATTTAATCTCAGGCTTTCTGGGAAACTTGCACTGAACTGACATCTCAGTGATTTAAGTCGTTTCTGCTGGAAGGCTCTGATGTTGTGCTAGGTGTGGCCATGCGTATTCATTTCACAGAGGCAGGCTTTGTGTATTTTCTAATAAAATGGCCATAATGATGATTATAGCAGGCTAACGTACTGTCCTCCATCTGGCAGTGCTTTCTAACCTGTGAAAAATCTGAAAGCTCTTACACAAAAATATCTAAGCACCTTCTCCACATAGATGATATCAGTTCATTTGGCTACACTGCAACCTATCTCATTCAAATTAAAAGAACCGATTTCATGTGTGTGTGCAGCTTGCCTAGTAATATTTTCTCTAATCAAAGATCAAGTTGTAGACTGAGCACACTTCCCAATACTGTCATTCTGTTATTCTGCAAAATCATGGCATTATTTTCAGAACTTGAAATATATTCCCTTTAAGTTTTCAGGAACTGGAGATTCCCCTGAATACAAATGGTTTATTTAGAGATTCTTTACAGAAACTGATACATGAGAAAATAATAAAAAAAGATAGTACTGAATTACAGCTTTATTTCTATTTTGAGATAAGTCAATCAGTAACTTTCCTGGTACACATTTCATTGAATTTTCCATATCTGTGACAGGACTATACTACCTTTCCCCGCTCCTGATGCGTGACTGCCTTGCTAAGCTGCAGTTTGGTCTTCAAAGTTCTTGATTATAATTCTGTTATCTAAACTCATTATTGCAAATTGAAAAGTGTTACTCTGTAGATACATGAAGAGAACAAGGATTTTTTTTATAGCAGAAAAATATTTTTTAGTGCTGCTTAATTTGTATTTTAGTGGATGGGATGCTTGGGAGAAGGATTCCAAATGATCAGAGTGGTGTTTTAGTGACTTTTCCTGAGATTACCTGTCCCATATGGTCCACTGACCATACTGTCTGCATTATTGTCATTCTGTGTACAGAAATACTACGCAATGTTTTACAAATGATATTAAGTACATTTGCTGGAGAGCTGTGCCAAATATCTGTTTACAACTATAAAACCAAATACACTTCGACAAGTAGGACTATAAATCAGACTTGCTAAAATAGTTCTCAGAGTTCATTTATCCAAGGCAATTAATTCTTTTGTAGAAAGAACTCGATTTTTTTTTTGAGAACAGGAAGCAAGAGTGAGTTTCAGAAGATTTTAACTGAGTTTTATTCATAGTAATACAATCTATGTGAGATCTGCAGCTGATTTGGTGTTGTATATACAAACGCAGATAAAAACATCATTTTGCTTTCTTAAAGGGGATGTATATAGCTAAAGGACCCTTTAGCTCAACATATTCAAATATTATCAGTGCATAGTTTACTATATACTTTCAGAGACATTAAACATCATTATTGTAAGGCACTAAAAGATAGAAATATTAAATATCTATTTATCCATCACTTACAGTTAGGCTGTTCTCTCCAATTACAAACAACGTAGGGTTATGCGTATCAATTTCTGCATCTGCTGAGAGTAGTAGTGTCTGGAAAGTTGACTGAAAAAGAAGTTGAAAAGAAAAAAAAACACACACCTGTAAAGCTCTATCAAAGGGCAAATCAAGCAGAATATAGATATCCCAAAAAAATGACATGAAGCCTTCAGAACTAGAAAAAAAATGCAGCACTGAGAATATTGAAATCATTATTTTTCTTGAGCTAATATTTCTCTAAAAGCAAAAAGGTATCAGAGTTTTGCTTTTTTTTATTTATTAGTGATGAAACTTAGGAAATTCTCTGCTTATTTATCATATAGTATGAAAAATTGAGGAAAAAAAAAAAAAGCAGAACAGAGAAAGGCAGAACAGCCTGGCCTTTGAAGGCAGTGGGATCTGGATGTTCTCTCCCTTCTTTCCTCCCTCACTTCTATGCAATGCGACTCTGTTTTTCCCCATTTAGTTTTCCTATCACTATTGGTTCCTCTCCATTGCTCAAATTCTGACATCACTCTCTCAACTTAAAGAAAAAGAAGGAAAAAACGCTGGGGCATCTCCCAGTGAGAGGGGACTGCGTGCCAGATGCCCTTCCTCTGCAGCGCTGCCCCAGGCAGCGAGCACAGCTGGGCCGGCACTGCCAGTGCCGCTCCACAAGACATTCCCACGCACTGCAGCCACGAGGGGGATGCCCCTTTCCTAGAACTCTGCAGGAAACATCTTGATGCTCCTGGGCAAGCATGAGCAGCAGGGAAGCTGCCCCACAGGCAGGGAACACTCTGTCCTTCTTCCTCCTGCATCATTGCTTCGAGCGTCCTTGCTCATGTCAGGCTGTTGGAACAGGCCATCTCTGGAGGTCCCTTCCAGCCTCAGCCATTCTGTGACTCTGTGGTCTCTTTGCAGCTGCTTCTAACAAACCTACAACAGTGGCAGGGCAAGGTGCAGGTCCCTTGACAGAGGGCACACGAGCTGCCTTAGTCCAGGGCAGCCCACACGCTGCACTGGCCACGCAGGCCGTGCGCACCTGTACGCTTGCGCTGGGGCCGGCTCTCCACATAGCTCTGTCCTGACTGCTGGAGATGCACCTGTCTATTCCAAGTACTTTACTAATTCCTAAAATCCTCTTCCTTAGCTTTGTTTTGCAAGTACCAGCATACCTGCTGTTCTCCTCTTGGACAAAGACTAATCGTCATTAAGTAAAGCGGCTAATTATCTGCAAGGTTGGGTGCCTGCAGCATTGTTTGCACTTAACATTGACAATTAAATACTAAGAAAATGGCAGGTAAGAGGAAAACTGACATGCAATCTTCCCACCTCCCAGCAATAAACAGATTATTTCCAGTCAGTTTCTTGCAAAAGTAGCAGTCTTTTATTCAGATCTTTCCCTTCTGTGTACCTGTCAGCACTTTCCCAGCATTCTTGATCCAAACATTTTGAAAAATACGTAGAGACAGGCAGATGCTTTCCTTCAGACATCAGCGTAAGTATATTACATTATCAAACTGACCTTTTCCTTACAAAAGCAGAACACTGAACTGACAACCACCCTGCTGCTAAATGTCAATACCTAGCTGTAAAATTTGGCAAACAGACTACCAAGACTGCGTCATGTTCCTGATGCTCTAGACAACCCCAGGACTCCAAGACAGTTTGGTCGGTTGCCTAGCTGAGGCGCAAACATGGTCTCATTTCAAAGGTCTGGTAAGTCATGATGAATTATATCTGGGAGGTCACACGGTGATTTAAAATGTGATAGTCAAGATATTATTGAAGGATATTTTTATGCATCGTACAGGATGCTCTTAAAGCAAGGACTGTTTCCTTGACACCAAGTTTAATAAAAACAACAAAATCAATAAAAAAAAAATCCACACCTTGTCGACAAATATAACTGGCAGCCCCAAGCAGCTTTTCAAATTTAGTTATAATCCCTGTATAGGCTATGACGTTCAAAACCTAAAAGCAACATTATTTTCTGGACCATGACTAGATTGTACAGCAGTACAGTCCCATGTTCAGTTTTGTGGAAAGTTTTGTTTGTGATTCTTTGAATGAATTCAAGGGTCACAGCAAGGATTTTTTCCGCTCCTCCCCGCTCCCCTCAGCTATGAAAAATTATCCCAGCATTTTCTTAGGTCTTGTCCTAGAGGTTTATGAACTAGAGCTTATCAGATCTGTTATGCAGGCTTACTACTTATTTTACTTTTAGATTAAAGACACAATAATGTAAAGGATGCTCTTCCTATATTTGGAAGTGTCAGAAACTATGAAATATTTGGATACTGGTTCCTTCATGAAAACACAGCTGATGATACTCACAGCGGCAAAAGTTCCGTTCCAGATTCTGGTGGACACATTCACAAAATACTCCCCCTTCAACACAAGATCTTCCAGTCTGCACGTGATGGTGCTGCACTTTGCATTCTTACAATTCTTTCAGTGAAAACAGCAGAGAAAAGAAATGTGCATTAAAAAAATACATCCTCAACAAATTTTCATTTAATAATCAGATTTTTTACGCTGGCCTTTGTGTGCATATGAAGTAAGTGTTTGCAAGTGGTCAACAAGCACTTCTCCTTCCCTCTGTAGATGCAGTATGTTTGGAAAATCACATAGGCTCCACTCCTGCGGAGGTAGCGAAGGCACCGTCACCTCCCCAGCATGTCTCGTGGGCATAGCAGTGGGATGAGACCTGTGTCCCCATCCTACTGCACTAGTGCTCATCCTCACTTACCAGTTCTTTGGAAGCTCTGAAGTTCTCCTTCTTGAAAGATGCAGAATAAGGTCGTTTTCCTATTTGCAGTGGATTTACCTGAGCTTGACATGTAACACCTCTGGCCTATAAAAGATAGAAGGAATTAGGTAACATCATACTCAAGAGTATCTCATCACAGTAATATATACTTTGGCAACTAGACATTGACAGTCAATGCTAACTGTCAGGGTCGAGATTGTGAATTATACACTACTGGATACTTTTGGAACATAAGCGACTGAACATGTTTTAGGGCAGAATTACAAAATTAAACTGCTCTTATGGCAATTTGTTTATCCTAGGGTGACTGAGAGTTTTGTCCTAATCTAAAAACTTCATTTGTACTATACTCTTCCCAGGGACTTGGAAAAGGACCCAGGTGAAGAGTTTCAGGGACATATGAACAGTCTGCTGTGGACTGTAAGGATAATCCACTTGTGCCAGTACTGGAGAAGTTTCTTGATCATGGTCCCCCTTTCCTTTTGAAATGGGAAGAGAAGAAGGGCAGAGATTCTCTGAATTCTGTGAAGGAAAAAGTTGATGTATATGGTGCTGGTTAGCCCCTCACAAAACACAACAGCTTATGTTCCCAGTTCTTTACCTGATCTGTGCTGACTGCAGTTATATACATCAGTGGGTTGTCTTTGTTGGTCAGTTCTGGGAGATGGAGTTTTACAGACGCCATTTTTACTGGAATGCTTCCTGTTGTTACCTGCAAAGCAAATAATTCATGAGTTATTCTCACATAAGCAAGAATTATTTTGGATAGTTAACATATATAAGATAGATATAAGAAAATTATAAATTCAAGATGAATAAGAAAGAACTGAATTCTTTTTGCAACGATCTTTTTTTGTATTAGTACACTTACTGAAGTAGCAATTACAATACTACAGCAAAAAATACAGTATATTGTTTCAGCTACCAGGCTATTTCTTTACCAAGATCTTATTAACTGCATGAAATACTTTTTCAAAAACCAAACGTTCTGCCATAGCCAAAATGCCTATTATTTTGTCATTTAGTATACCATCTACATGAAATTTAAAAGGGACGTAATTAAAATCCTCCTACTCCCTCCCCCTCCCCCTATTGTTTTGGAACCAACATTTTTATGGGTTATATAATAAATGCTGCATTCAGCCTGGTTCTTGCCTCCGGTCTGAGTGTCAAATTTAAAAGTCTAAGCCTGAGAAGGTTTATTTTTATATATCAAGTTGGCAGAAAATAAATATGCACTGTGATTAGCTGGCCTCAAGTTAAGCATTAACCATCCCATAAAGATGTAACCAGTGCAGGACCAATCCCTCTCCCCCTCCACTCATAGATAGGAAGTACAAATTTCATCCTTAAGCTCGTAAAGACTGTGAGCGTCTATCCCTAAGTGGCTCAGCTGTTTGGCTGACTCATAAAGCATAAAAAAAAAACAGTGAAATCAGGATTTTTTTTTTAAATTGCTTTTGCTACCAGGAGGAGGTAAGGCAGCTTCTCAAACTCAAACCAGAAACTTCTACTAACCTTAACTGAAAAGTTGAACACGGGGCCAATTTCTCCAAAATTATTCACAGTGGAAGGAATGCTAC